ATCTTTGACATCCAACACCGCGTCTCGAAAGGGTGGGTTCTCCACTGTGTGTGTCGTGGCTATCTGTCTTCTAGAACGAGCCCACCCTCTCGACTAGGTTTGCAGTTTTGCCCCCTGTGGCTGAAGACACTCAGCTGTGCAACGTTCCCCACATTTTCTCGGATCTGTACGTCGCGGGGTACTACAGGTGCGACGCCTACAGTGGTGGGATGTTGTTTGGATGGGTGTCATGTGGTTGTAGTTATGCGTGGTCAGAAGTCTATGCAGCCGACGCGTTTGCCTCGTTTGCAGCCGTCGAGGCAACCTACGTCGACGTGTGGAGAGCTCTGGGGAGATCTTTTCGAGACAATGTGTTCTCGAAACTCGGGATCGTGCATCCCATGGACGCCTTCAAGCAATTTCGTGGCCGGCAGCCGTCGACGGACGCGCTTCTGGAACGAATTGGGCTCTCGTAGAAGGCGTTCCTAATGTTTTCATGGTCGGAGAGTTCAGTGAAACACGGCTGCTTGATGGGGTTCAAAGTTGTCTTGTCCGCGTTGGTATGTGACACACTTTGAACCACAGCGACGGCCACCAGGACGCAGTCTTTGGCTGTGCTCTGTTCCTACGAGAATTGCACTGACCTGCATGGACGTGAATGCATACACTGCATGCCACACAAATTGACATTTTCGACCTTGTCAAGTGCAAATTTTAACGTGACTGAGTGTAAAACATTGAGCAGCATGAATGGGAGTGTTGCGAATTTGCCATTCGCAGAACCCCTGAACCCCCCCCCCCAAGAGGCAGCACAAGGAAGGGCTCAGGTCCCTTGGATAGTATGCCGGACGATCCTTTTGTTAGTTGGACGAGTGTGTTCCCGCGGGATCGTGATCCACGAGAAGTACGTTGTTCTTGCGTGGTGCGAACATCCGTGTCGTGTTAGTACCTGGATTGGTACGGTATCTCTAGGAATGTCGGCGTCTGGTCGGGCAAGCACGCCCCTAGGTAACATGCTAATTCACTTTTGCTTTTATCGAAGACAGCGCAAGTCACCAGTCTCAGCTTGCTGCACGCGAAGTGCGGGAGTGAGAACAAAGAATTCTTT